CCCGGAGGAGCCCCTCTCTATGAGAGCGTACCGGCCGGTGGGAGGCTACTGGTGGCAGCAGACGGTCTCGTAGATAACCAGGTCCTAAGCCAGTTATCTCACCCCACGGGGACCATGTTTCCCTCTCTTACTCTTAAGGCGGACAAAGCTCCCCTGTTTGAGGAACTAGTAGCGCATGATAGTTTCTTTCCTATGGTTGACCATTTGGAGCTTTGGGGCAGTGAGACAATGTAAAAACAATGAGGTCAAACCCAAGGACAAGTAATAGAAAAGGGATGATTGCCTTTGGACCATCCAGCGGACTGGTCATGGTCGTCCCAAGGATACTTTTTCAAAAAATAACTGGACTGTCTGTACAGATTCTCACTCATGTTTGTCCCAAAGGTGCTTTTTCAGGAGGCAACTGGACTTTCTTAGGTTTTTTTTTTGAAGACGTTTCACTTCTCATCCAAGAAGCTTCTTCAGCTCTGACTGGATGGAGGGGAATGGAAGGATTTATAAATCCATTCCATCCTTCCATTCCCCACTGTCCTGTCAAAGCTGAAGAAGCTTCTTGGATGAAAAGCAAAATGTCTTCAAAGAAAAAAACCAAGTCCAGTTGCCTCCTGAAAAAGCACCTTCGGGACAACTGGACTGTGTTTTTTCTTGAAGACATTTCGCTTCTCATCCAAGAAGCTTCTTCAGTTCTAGACTGAAGCATCTTGGATGAGAAGCGAAACGTCTCCAAGGAAAAACACAGTCCAGTTGCCTTTTGAAAAAGCACCTTCGGGACGACCGTGACCTGAATAACTGAGAATCTCCATAGACATTGGTTACATGATTTAGATTTGGATGCATGGCAACTGACTCACATTTATGGCAGTTGCAGTGTCCCACCGGGGTCATGTAATCCCTTTTTATGACCGTTTGACAAGCCAAGTCAATGGGGAAACTAGATTCGTTTTTACATCTGTATTACTAATTTAACGACTGCAGTGATTCACTTAACCAATGCGGCAAGAAAAGTCGTAAAATGGGAGAAAACTCACTTAACAAATTTCTCACTTAGCAACATAAACTTTGGGCTCAGTTGCGGTCATAAGTTGAGGACTACCTGTAATGCAAAGGCAGAACTGAAATTCACGGGCCAAATCCCTAAGTGAAAACTACTTTTCCCTGCAATGATTAGAAGGCATGTACAGCAGGCTAATTCTGCTGACTGCCAGGAATTCGATCCTGACAGGGCTCAAGGTTGACTCAGCCTTCCATCCTTCCGAGGTCGGTAAAATAAGGACCCAAATTGTTACCTTTAACCACTTAAAGGTAAAGGTAAAGATTCCCCTCGCACATATGTGCTAGTCATTCCTGACTCTAGGGGGCGGTACTCATCTCCGTTTCAAAGCCAAAGAGCCAATGCTGTCTGAAGACATCTCCGTGGTCATTTGTCCAGCATGACTAAACGCCAAAGGTGCACGGAACGCTGTTACCTTCCCATCAAAGGTGGCCCTTATTTTTTCACTTGCATTTTTTACGTGCTTTTGAACTGCTAGGTTGGCAGAAGCGGGGACAAGTAACGGGAGCTCACCCTGTTACGCGGCACTAGGGCTTCGAACCGCTGAACTGCCAAACTTTCGATTGACAAGCTCAGCGTCTTAGCCACTGAGCCACTGCGTCTCTTACATAAACCAGTTAGAGGACTGTAAAGCAGTGTGAAGAGGTATATAAGTCTAAGTGCTATTGCTGTTAGGCACTTCATATTCCTGGCGCCCCCCCCCCCCCCCCCCCCCATCATCCTATCAGTCTCCAAGATGTTTTTGAAATGGCCATTCTGGTTTTAGCCCGGCTCGCAGCTGTATTCTTCTCATAGCAAGGCAACTTCAAACGCCATCTTGGAGAGCCATCTTCACTTTTGTAGCTTCCTCCCCCCCCCCAGCACTTCCCCTCCCTCTCTCTCTCTCTCTCACACACACACAGACTGGTTTTATGTCAGATTGGTACCGAACGGCCAGCGTCAGGTGGCAGTTCTGACAAATCAGGTGCGCTTAAGTCCCGAGCACCAGCTCCAAGATTTTTTTTTTTTCTCTCCGTCCTCCTCAGCCCTTTGCCGAGATCGCCCGCCTGACCGACGTGCAGGAAGGCATTATCGTCCGCTGCATTCAGCGCCTGGATGAAACCTGTCGCGAGATGCGCAACGCTGCCCGGGTGACGGGGGAGCCGACCCTGCACGCCAAGATGGAAGCGGCCTCCAACATGATCAAGAGAGACATTGTCTTTGCCGCTAGCCTCTACACCCAGTGAGGGTGGGGAGATGCTGGCTGGACTGTGGATCCATTTTGCCAATCCTGGGAAGTTCTCACTCCCTTATTCTGACCTCTAAGAGGTTTTGCAATGCATCTGCAGATCTAAACAATAAAAATATGTCCTTGTCCCAAACAAGCAGAGTTGGTCGTCTGTCTTCATTTATGAGCCGTGGTGGCGCAGTAGTTAGAGTGCGGTACTGCAGGCTACTTCTGTTGACTGCCGGCTACCTGCAACTTGCCAGTTCAAATCTCACCAGGCTCAAGGTTGACTCAGCCAACCTTGAGTAAAGCACTGTGAAGCGGTATATAAGTCTTAACTGCTATTGCTAGTAAAAGCCGGGGTCCACAACCTGTGGGACATGGCCCACTATTAAGGGGTTTGCAACTGGGCCGTGGCAAGTGCGCACACACGCACATCCTCGCTTGCGCGAGCAGGGACTAAACACATGTTCATGCACTCCATTTGTGTGAACGGCAGGCACGCTGTTTATGGAATTGTTGCGCATATGTGTGCCTGCCAGCCACTTGCATGACCAACGCCTCCCCCCCACCCCCCGGCTGGTCCGCAAAGCCCAAAATGTTGGGCAACTCTGCATAAAGGATGTGGCCCTAATAGGTTGAACGCCTCTTTCGTTGGACAGAAAGATATTCCACCTTCTCTCTAGTTCTTTATGCTGATATATACCAAGGAGCATGGAACGCTGTTACCTTCCCATCGATTGGTACCTATTTATCTACTTTTATTTGCGTGCTTTCGAACTGCTAGGTGGGCAGGAGCTGGAGCAAGTAACGGGAGCTCACCCCATTGTGCAATGCACAGGTCTCGAACCTAGGCTGTCGGCTTTCCAGCCGACAAGTTCAGCATCGTTAACCGCTGAGCCATCGCTCATATAAAGTATCATATACAGCAATATATTAATTAAAAATCCAATTCATTCCAGTAGAAAAGAATATCTGTAGCTGAGGGTTCAACTGTGGCGTTCCTGGCACTCTGTAGTTGGTTGTTTGCAGACGTTTCATTACCCAACTAGGCAACGCCATCAGTGCTACTGTGTTTCCCCGAAAATAAGACCCTGTCTTATATTTTTTTGAACCCTGAAATAAGCGCTTGGCCTTATTGCGCTCAAAAGCCCGATTGGGCTTATTATCAGGGGATGTCTTATTCTGGGGAAAACGGTAGTGGGTGTAGGATTTACTGCCTGTTTATGTACAATAACTTGCCCTGCCAGGGTTGGTGAAAGTGTGATTTTCTCCTTGGTAGTTCCATGATTAGGGCATTGTTTTCTGCTTGTTTGTCTGGTGTTAATCTCTGCTTATCTTTGTACGGATTGCTGGAGAGGATGTGTTCTGGTCTTTTTTTGTTTCCTTCTCATGTTTTTTTTATCCCTCTCTATTGAATGGTCATAAATGTAGTTTATGTCTACTTGTCTATTGATGGCTGATCCAATTCTGTAGAGATTCTCAGTCATCCAGATCATGGTTGTCCCAAAGGTGCTTTTTCAGGAGGCAACTGGACTTCCTTGTTTTTTTTCTTTTGAAGACATTTTGCTTCTCATCCAAGAAGCTTCTTCAGCTCTGACAGGATAGTGGGGAATGGAAGGATTTATATTCCTTGTAAACAAGCAGGTCATTTACATCCTTTTAGAGGGTCGTTGAAGCACTTGGACGTTTATCTGTGTCCTCAGGGTCACCTTACTAGGAACCAGGAGCACTACTCAGGTGACCCTGAGGACACAGATAAACCTCGAGGTGGCCTCAGCGTCTCTCTAAAGAGGATGCAAATGACCAGCTATCTGCAAGGAATATAAATCCTTCCATTCCCCTCCATCCAGTCAGAGCTGAAGAAGCTTCTTGGATGAGAAGCAAAACGTCTTCAAAAAGAAAAAGCAAGGAAGTCCAGTTGCCTCCTGAAAAAGCACCTTTGGGACTGGTCCAATTCATACATTATTGTTAAATATGATCCAATTATGGATCGTATTACGCTAAAGATAATGTGTGTCCCAAATTAGCCATAACTGGCTGAGACACATCCAGAGCTCATCCATTCTCAAACCATCTTACTTGACTTCAAGTAGGCTTCAATTGTTGTGGTCCGCCAGCAGCCTGCGGAGCTGGCAGCAGAGTCGGACAGTGAGGAGGCTGGGGAGGAACATGGGCCAGTCCTGGAGTCTGAGGAAGGCTCGGATGAGGGCTCTGCGCCGGAGGCAGAGATGGGGCCAGGGCCATCTGGGAGTTATGCCCGGACACTGGAGCCTCCAGAGTCGGACATCAGAGAGGCAGAGGAACAGAAGAAGCCTGTTCCTATTGCGCGCATGCGCAGAGCTGCCAGAAGGTAAGAACAGTTAAAACAAAAGGGATGACTCAGGAGTAAGGCCTGGAGGTGATTGGCCCCTCCCGTAAGGCTTAAAAGAGGAGCAAAGGCACGTGGGCCCTTTGCAGGAAAGCAACATTGTTAATTCTGTTCCCATTCGGCATCTCTGTTTGAATCTGGACTCCGTGTGGCTTTGCCAAGTAGGTCTTTGGCAGCGTGTCAAGGGAGATAAAGTTTGGTGATTATCCCGAAGGACTTCTCCCGAAGGACATTTTGCAACTAATTGGGACTCAGCTGTGAATGAACGTAATTCACAGCTTTTGCAATAAAAGAGGTTTTTGGGACTACTCATGTTTTAATGACTCAGGAAGCCTAGGTCACAACATCAATCAACAAAAGGACACTCATAGTTCATAACACTCTTGCTCCTTCATTGTTTGTAAACCACAAATGACATGCCACAGAAGCACATATAGGAAACAATGCACAAGCAGTTGGTTTTTTTCCCTTCCTTTGTTATCACAGCAATGCCATCAGTCCGTCTCCCCGTTCTCCAAGTGGCAGGTAACTGGCTTCTTGATGCCTGTTTTCTTCCATCATCCACCTTGGCCCGCAAGATGCAGCAGCATCTAGATCCAAAAACCAGCTTCGCTTCCAGTGCATCAGTCTGGAAGTCATGACGTGGGGGACTTCTCTGCACTCAAAGCCTCCACGTACCAATCAGGCAGGAAACGGTATTGAGAATCCTGATGCACTGTGTAGGAAACCGGGTGCCCTGGGTTCCAAGCAAAGAGATGAACCAACCTGGAAAAGAGGAAAGAAGCAGCAAACTTTTGATATCAGGGCAGCAAACGCTCAGTTCCCTGAGAAATAATTCTCATCGTCCATCACCATGGTTGCAGAACCTAGAATTGCTGGTCTCTCTCTTTTCATGATCAGCTTTGTACACTGATATTGCTGACATCGTCTACTGTGTTTCCCTGAAAATAGAACCTATCTCAAAAATAAGCCCTAGCCTGATTTTTAAGCGTGCCTAAGTGGCTAAGACGCTGAGCTTGTCGATCAAAAGGTTGGCAGTTCAGCGGTTCGAATCCCTAATGCTGCGTGTAACGGGGTGAGCTCCCGTTACTTGTCCCAGCTTCTGCCAACCTAGCAGTTCAAAAGCACGTAAAAAAATGCAAGTTGAAAAATAGGGGCCACCTTTGGTGGGAAGGTAACAATGTTCCGTGCACCTTTGGCGTTTAGTCATGCCGGCCACATGACCACCGAGATGTCTTCGGACAGTGCTGGCTCTTTGGCTTTGAAATGGAGATGAGCACCGCCCCCTAGAGTCGGGAACGACTAGCACATATGTGTGAGAGGAACCTTTGCCTTTAATATAAGCCCTACCCCCCCATAAGCCCTAGTGAAGGGGATTTGTGGGATCAGCATAGGAGGTGGCGAGCACATGCAGGCCAACAGTGTCAGCAGGCAGAGGCAGGGGGAGGCAGTGATCTGGATGCACTGCAGAAGCCACGGGAAAGCCAAGAGTGGACTGGAGCAGGCAGCCGGCCACGGGAGGCTCGCTGTGTGGCGCGTCGGGATTGCCTGCCTTCTGCCTCCATCTGCTGCTTGGACAGGGAATCAACTCACCTGCGCTGTGCAGGCTGCGCAGCCCCAGAGTGCTCCGACCAAGGGACCTGCGGTCTGAAGCTGCTGCCGGATACCGTCAGTCTGTGCGTGCTTGCTGCCTCTTGTGTGCACGCTGCGGGATGAGGCGCCCAGCTGGGCTGATCATCCTAAAATCGTGTTTCCCCAAAGTAAGTCCTAGTGCTTATTTTGGAGCCCCCCAAAAATATAAGATTGGGTCTTATTTTCGGGGAAACACGATAGCATCCCTTGTCATTGGCCACACCAGTTGTGGTTGCTGGGAGTTACCATTTAGCAACTTCCAGAGGCCCTCCGGCTCCATTTCTTGATCTAGTCAACTGTTGAATGAACATGGCTTCCTGCCAGGTGTGTCAAAACGACGACTACTCACTTTGGATTGTCTTCCGTCACCACGGTCTTCAAAAACGCTAGAAAAGCAGCACAGAAATTCATGCACACAGCTGGCTTCCAACAGCCTCGATCGTCCTGTCAGAGTAGGGAAGAAATTGTAACTTAGAAATAAGTGGGGCTTTTGTTTTAATAATAATAATAATAATAATAATAATAATAATAATAATAATAATAATAATAATAATAATAATAATAATTATTATTATTATTATTATTATTATTATTATTATTATTATTATTATTATTATTATTATTATTATTATTATTATTATTATTTTATTTCTATATCGCCCTTCTCGTGAAGGATTCAGGGCGGTGTACAGCCTGATTAAAAGCACAAAGACAGACAAAATTTAAAAATTATTAAAATTATTAAATAATTGGCTCAATTATAAAACCCCCAAATTTAAAATCCCACATTTAAAACCAATTAAAATCTTTACATTGATAGCCCGGCCTGGCGGAACAACAAGGTTTTGAGGGCACAGCGAAATACACGGAGATCAGAGATTTTACGCATTTCTGGGGGCAGTTCATTCCAAAGGGCAGGGGCTCCCACAGAGAAGACCCTCCCCCTGGGTGTCGCCAGCCGACATATTTTGGCTGATGGCACCCTGAGGAGACAAGCCAAGTCAATGGGGAAACTAGATTCTTTTTTTGACATCTCCTTGGTCAGGAGAGCAATGATAGTTTCTGTTTAGACCAGCGTTTCTCACCCTTGACCACTTGAAGATTTTATTTATTTATTGGTTCGATTTATATGCCGCCCTTCTCCAGAGACTCAGGGCGGCTTACAATGCGTTAAGCAATAGCCTTCATACTTTTCTATATACCTGCTTAGTAGGGCTTTAGGCCCCCCCTAAGCAGTGTTCTTTTTTATACAAAGTCAGCTTATTGCCCCCACGATCCGGGCCCTCATTTTACCTACCTCGAAAGGATGGAAGGCTGAGTCAACCTTGAGCCTGGTGAGATTTGAACTTGCAGTAATTGCAGGCAGCTGGTGCTACTTAACAGCACTTTAGTCTGCTGCGCCACCAAGGCTCTTTAGAGGCGTGGACTTCAAGTCCAAGAATTCCCCAGCCAGCATGGTTGGCTGGGGAATTGAAGTCCACACATCCTAAAGTTGCCAAGATGGAGAAACACCGGTTTAGACCACCTGGAGGAGTTTTGAGTAACCCACTTCATAAGAAAGAGAGACACTCTTAACTTTTACATCTACAGATAAAATTAGAGGAGGAGGATAGCCTGAAAAGAAAGGGGCTGGAGAAACCCTACGTTCTAGTCCTGCCTGAGGCACAAAAGTGGGTTGTGTAACTTTGGGTCAGTATCTTTCTCTCAGGCCCAACCCACCTGACAAGGTTGTTGTTATGGGGAAAACTGGAAGAAGAAACGTTAGGTAAGTTTGCCGCTTGAGTCATTTATAAAAAAAATTAATAAAGATGGGATATGAATAAATAAAATGGATCAAATGGGAGAATTCCACACTGGAGGTGGCTGCTAGATTTATGAGACTCCCCCTCCCCCCACTTTGCTCTCTATCTATCCTTCGTTTTGGTTATCATATCTTATTTATTCGTCGTATTTCTTTGCCATTGCTTAATTTATTGTCCTATTATGTTACTTCTCTCTACATGGCTTTTCATTTTTCTCCTTTTTACTATTGTAAGCCACATAGAATAGCCCCACAGCGATAGGAAAGAAAGAAAGGAAGGAAGGAAGGAAGGAAGGAAGGAAGGAAGGAAGGACAGAAGGACGGAAGGAAGGAAGGAAGGAAGGAAGGAAGGAAGGAAGGAAGGAAGGAGAAAGAAAGAAAGAAAAAGAAAGAAAGAACGAAAGAAAGAGAAAGAAAGAAAGAAAGAAAGAAAGAAAGAAAGAAAGAAAGAAAGAAAGAAAGAAAACAACAAGAACAATGGGAAAAAGGTATGACAAGGAACAAAATCCAATAAGAACACAACACAACAAAACCGCAAAGATATATCCAGCATTTTAAAGATGTTTAGTAGAATCAATGTCAGCTGCATCAGAGAAGCCTATAGGTAGTCCTCGAATTACGACTGTAATTGATCCCAGAATTTATGTTGCTAATTTGTTAAATGAGCTTTGCCCCAGTTTACGACTTTTCTTGCCACATTTGTTAAGTGAATCACTGCAGTTGATAAATTAAGTAACACGGTTAAGTGAATCTGGCTTCCCCACTGTCTTTGCTTGTCAAAAGGTCAAAAAAGGGGATCCCATGACCCCAGGACACTGCAATCGTCATAAATATGAAAGAGTTATCAAGCATCCAAAGGTAAATCACGTGACCATGGGGATACTGCAACGGTCGTTAAGTGTGAAAAATGGTCACAAGTCAATCTTTTTAGGGCTGTTGTAATTTCGAACGGTCACCAAATGAAAAACGTTGTAAGTCGAGGGCTACCTGTATAAGCTTGTATCGGGCAACTTGTAATTCAGGGGTGTGCAAGATTTGTAAGAAAAAAAGCAGTGTAGCTTTTTGACTGTGGCTGCAGCCGCCATCTTGGTATTTTGGATCCTGTGGATTCGAGGGTGTCTCTTTCCCAAGGTTAAACTTACCCGAATGAGTTTGAATATTTTCATAGTCTCAAAAGTTTCCAGCCCCACAACTGAGCCATCGGGCCCTCGATACCCTGCCACAATCCGGGACACCCCTGGAAGAAAAGACTGGGCCCACCACTTGATTATCTTGTGCCTGAAAAGAAAAGAAGGCAGATGGTTGTTAATGAACGTATATCTGCATTTAAATGAACCCCATCCAGTAAACTGAAAAGTGCTTTGTTTCTTTGGAAAGTGAGCCAAAGAATCGATTAATCATGGTTTAATTTCGGAAAAATAAACCACAATTTGGAACTACAGTCTTTTGTTGGCGTACTGACTACAGGATAGTCCTCGACGTACGAGCACAATGGAGCTCAGAATTTATGTCACTAAGGGAGAAATTCGTTAAGTGTTAAGTGTTGACCCATTTTACGACTGTTCTTGCCACATTTGTTAAGTGAATCGCTGCACTTGTTAAATTAGTATCGTGGCTGTTAAGGAAACCCGGTTTCCCCATGGACTTTGTTTGTCAGGAGGTCGACAAAGGGGATCACATGACTCTGGAACAATGCAACCGTCATAACGCTGAGTCAGTTGCCAAGCCTCTGAATATAAATCACATGACCATGAGGGGTGCTGCAACGGTCGTAAGCGTGAAAAATGGTCATAAGGCACTTTTTCCGCTGCAACTTCGAACGGTCACTTAAAGAACTGTTGTAAAACGGGGACAATCTATGGTTGTTGGTTTAAAAGCACGTGAACTGGCTGCTCCTTCCAACAGAACAAGATTTCTCTTTCCTAATCTGCCATAATCCAAACATTTTTGCAGTTCATCTCTCATTGTCTCCTATTAGTGTATGTCATGGAATTGCACAGCAAATGTGAAGTCAGAGACGCTGACACAAATATGTGGTTTTATATAAATAAATATGTTTTAAACTGCTTAGAGAGGGCCGTAAAGCACTGTGAAGCGGTACATACTGTTAAGTCTAAGTGCTATTGCTATTTTAAATCAATATGTACAGCAGACATGATAGTCGGGATCATAGAGCATACAGGGCACTCGGAAGAAAAAGGCGGGAAAATCAGGAAACTCCCCCTCCACACCCACAGCAACCAATCACAGTGCAGATTGCCTCAGGCAGGAGCCAGCGCTTTCCAACCAATCAAACACAACTGTGTGTTTGGCCCACTGCATAACTCCCCCCCGCCCCCACTCCAGCTATTAAATTTAAATATTTTAACAATATTAGACTATTCTCTGGGCGATGCGATTTGGGTCACCAGTTTAGGGAACTCTGGCACAAACACCTTAAAGGTAAAGGTTCCCCTCTCACATATGTGCTAGTCGTTCCCGACTCTAGGGGGCGATGCTCATCTCCGTTTCAAAGCCAAAGAGCCAGCGCTATCCAAAGACGTCTCTGTGGTCATGTGGTGGTCATGTCTAAACACCAAAGGCGCAAAGAACACTGTTACCTTCCCACCAAAGGGGGTCCCTATTTTTCTACTTGCTTTTTTTACGTGCTTTCAAACTGCTAGGTTGGCCGAAGCTGGGACAAGTAACGGGAGCTCACCCCATTACGCGGCACTTAGGGATTCAAACCGCTGAACTGCCAACCTTTTGATCGACAAGCTCAGCGTCTTAACCACTGAGCATCCCTTACAAACACCTTAGGACATGGCATACAGGTAGTCCTCGCTCAGTGACCATTTGAGGTTATGGCAGCTGAGCAAGGTCTAGGAAACCACTCATCTCCTCCCTACTGATTCAAATCCCAAGGAGCCAACCAGAACAACTATTCCGACAGATGTTCCAACTGTCTATGGGTCTACTGCGGAAGATTTGAGCTGCATGCAACTCAATTTCCACTGGCAGTAGTCCATCTTGCTTCCTTCTCATTGCCAAATTCAAGCTCCGGACTTTGCCTGTTTTTCTAGGCTTGCCACTTTGTACCAATTACCACTTTCCTTCCCCAGCCTAGGAGCCAGCCGAGAAGGGATAGCTGTGTGATAGGTCTAGCTGGGGAGTAAAAAAAGGGGGACAAGCATCAAGAAGGAAACACAATTTTGACTCCTCCTTCCTCACCTGTAGAAACTTCTCCTCTGAGCAGGGCTGTGCATGACTTTGCTAGTCTTCAGCTCCACGTAGCAACTAGGTGGCTGAGGCGAAGGGCTCCGAGGATCAGTGCAATCTACCTCTCCAGAGAAGAGAAGCGAGTGACTTCCCAAGCGGGACCGAATCACTGTGCAGAAAGCTTCATTTGTGTTCACTACTCCAGTTGGATCAGGAATCCCATCGGGAGTATCTGAAAAAGGAGAAGATGGTTCACTTCCTGGAAGTTACCTAAGGTCATTCCTTCAAGAAGCTGAACAGGCAATCGTCCACTTATTACCGCAATTGGAACTGGAATTTCTGCCATGAGTCAGACGTGATTTTAGAACCATTTTTATGATGTTGTTAAACAAATCATCATGGTTATTAAGTGAACCCCATGGTCGTAAATGCAAACTCATTCTTTTGGATAGTTTTTGCTGGAAACTTGCAAAAAAACTTGCAAATCAGGATCACATGATCACAAGACACCATTATCGATCGTAAATGTGAGCCAGATGCCAAACACCCGAATTGCGATCGTGTGAACATAGGGTTGGTAGGACGGGGCCATAAGTGCAAGGACCAATCATAAGTGTGAAGAACAGATTGTCATCAGTGCGACTAATGAACCCAACAAAAGCAGGCACTTTCAGGAACTTTGAAATCCCAAAAGCAAAACTTTATTGAGTACATCATTTCGGCACTGAAGAAAGCAAAATCAGCTCTAACTTTTCCCACGCAATGCTGTATTGTTAAAGAATAGCTTTCTCCCCTCCTCCTATTGGACAAGTCACATTCTCCAGTTATGAATCATTCTTTTGTTTTAAGAACAGTTCATGTCTTGGCCGACACCTGTAGAAGTGTCCTTGGTGGGTGCTTGGCTCTCACGGATGAAGTCTGGAGCCTTCATATTCCATCTTCCCCTGCCCTCCCCCATTCTTTGGCAAATTGAAAAGCAATGACATTCACAGGAAGCATAAGCGAATTCAGTCTTGTCACAGATGTTTTCAGCAGCTGTTGTAACTTTGAATCATCACTAAATAGATGGTCACAAGTCAAGGACCGCCTGTAGCGTCAAATAAACATTACATTGCATCATTGCAGCCATTCAGTCAATCATTAGCTGGATTAACTGATTAATATCCATTTCCACAGAAAGTGTCTCACGGTTTCTCCCAGATTTTTATTTTTCTGAGTTTGGCTACTACAGACAAACATGGCCCTCCTCCTACATTGCCTGCATCATTCCCAATAATTCAAACACTCTGAAAAAGTCAGCAGCCACCAGCTCAGTTCAGGAATTGAGGGGAAAAAAATTAAGCATCGTCCCTAAAGACCTGGTTTTCAATTCACAGCTGGGAGCTCTCCAGAAACCTTACCGGCACACATATATTGCTCAAATTTATATCCCATATATGTGAGCTCCTTTAGCATTTCTGAGCGCTGCTCCCGTTCTCTGCGGGCGGCCTCCGTTTCAAACTCGCTAATGTACAAGGTCCCACGGAAGAGAGTGACAGCCAGCAACCATCCCTCCCGACTCTCGTATGGGGTGGTCAGCACTTTGGTGAGATGCCCCCTCCAAGTCACAAAGTCAGCATTCAGGAGCTTTCTGCAGAGGAGAGGGAGAGAGAAAGGGAGAGAGAGAAAGAAAAAGAGAGAGAAAGAGAAAAGGAAAAAGGAAAAGGAGAAGAGAGAAAGGGAAGAAAGAGAGAGAGAAAGAAAAAGAGAAATTATGATTAACCAACCAATGAAACTAGGTCTGTCTAAATCCCAGTAGAGCCAAAGCAAGGTAACTATTTTGGGGTATGCCTTTGAGTCAGTGTTCACCTCTAATGATTGCCTAAACTAGTCCTTACAATTTTATTGACAAGATTTTTGAAAGCACCATATTTTTTGGACTATAAGACACACTTTTTTGTCTCCCAAAAGGGGGTGAAAATGTCTGTGCGTCTTATAGACCGATTATTGCCGAAGCCCCGTCCACCCACCAGCCGTTTTTTGCCTTTGTACGCCCCATTTTCGGGCCTTTTATCAGCCTTTTTCAGGCCTTTTTTCAGCCCGTTTTTGAAGCTTTTTTCGGCCTGTTTTGAGGCTTTTTTCAGCCTGTTTTCAAGGCTTATGTTGGCCCATTTTCAAGGCTTTTTGGCAAATTTTTAAGAAAAAAATGGGCCGAAAAAAGCAGAAAAAAACAGGCTGAAAAAAAGCCTCAAAAATGGGCTGAAAAAAGCCAAAAAAAATGGGCCAAAAAAAAAAAAGGCTGAAAAAGGCCCCAAAATGGGGGCGCAGACTTTTGTGGGGGCAAAAACTTTTTTTGTTGATTTCCTCTTCTAAATTTAGGTGCGTCTTATAGTCAGGTGTGTCTTATAGTCCGAAAATTACGGTAGTTTTCTCTTGAAATGTCTCTGAATATTAGTAGCTCGGATTGGTAGTTATGTTGTTGGTTTGAGCTCAGAGCTTGGCGATTTGGTTGCAAACGTTTCAGTTCCCATTCGAGGAGACATCTTTGGTGCGCTTTGGACTGTGCTTGTCTTGAGGAACACTGGCCTTTAAATACCTTTCTGAGTCCTGGTTGGATTTCGGGTTCTGAGGTTGGCTGGCTGTAGTTGCTGAGTCATAGTCCTTCATTTTAATAACAACACCAGCACTAATTTATATCACACGGACGGTACTTAAAACCAAAACACGGTACCTGTACAAGAAGAGACTTTCAGCCTTACAACTGATTAAAACACTCTCTGGCCAGCACTTCCTCTAACTCTTTCTCACCCTTTGTCCTCAGTCTGTAACTGCTTCCGGTTCTCCACAATCCATTGCAGCAGATGGTCCAGGCCTTCACGGACGCTGTCATCTCGCTGTACGTAGCGGTCGCGGTAGCCATCGCGCAAGTCAAATCCAGGGGAGGGGCCTTCGGCAGGGGGAGGAACATAGTAGCGCATCTGACGGGCATCTCCATGGAAGCACCGCTTGGCATCTAGGGAAAAGCGTCCCATTTCAGCTGGACGCCGGTAAAAGGGAAAAGGGGCGTCATACAGAGGGGGAGCAACCGGCAAAGTAAGGGGCGGCTTGGAATCGCTCCTTGGATTCTTGACTTTGGATTCATCCTCGTGATCCTCTTGGTTGAAAGACCTGGAACTGGCTGTGTGCTTCATAAGGGTTTGTGTCTAATAATAAAAAGAATGAGCATGAAACTTCTGCCTTCAGAATATACACCTGAGAAATTGTCCTCGCTTAGTGCACCTCTGCGTTTAAGGCTAAGATGGAAAATGTCTGTAGCGATTCTCAGTCATCCAGGTCAAGGTTGTCCCAAAGGTGCTTTTTTTAGGAGGCAACTGGACTTTCTTGTTTTTTTTTTCTTTGAAGGCATTTCGCTTCTCATCCAAGAAGCTTCTTCCGCTCTGATTGGATCCTACCCCATCAAGTCAGAGCTGAAGAAGCTTCTCGGATGAGAAGCAAAACATCTTCAAAAAGAAAAAGCAAGAAAGTCCAATTGCCTCCTGAAAAATAGCACCTTTGGAACAACTAAGACAGAAAGGAACTTTTAAAACTCTAACCCAATATTTGACATTACAAGTAGTCCTCGATGTACAACAGTTCATTTAGTGACTGTTCAAAGTTACAACGGCACTGGAAAAAGTAACTTATGACCATTTTTCACATTTACGACCGTTGCGGTATTCCCACGGTCATGTGATCAAAAATTCATGCACTCGGCAACTGACTCATATTTATGATAGTTGCAGCGTGTGTGTGTGTTTGTGTGTGTTGTCATCATCTTTTGCTACCTTCGGACATGTAAAAGTCAAAGGAGGAGCCTGTAGTACAGTGGACTAAAGCTCTGTTATTAACACCAGCTGCTTGCAATTACTGCAAATTCAAATCTCACCAGGCTCAAGGTTGACTCAGCCTTCCATCCTTTCAAAGGTAGGTGAAATGAGGACCCAGATTGTGGGGGCAATAAGCTGACTTTTTATAAATATACAAAAGGATGAAGGCTATTGCTTAACGCATTGTAAGCCGCCCTGACTCTCCGGAGAAGGGCGGCATATAAATTAAAGCAAAAATAATAATAATAATGGGGAGTGTGATTCACTTAACAACCAGGTTACTAACTTAATAAATACAATGATTCACGTAACAACTGTGGCAAGAAGAAAGGTCATAAAATGGGGCAAAATTAACTTAACAAATGTCTCGCCTAGCAATAGAAATGGGTTCAATTGTGGTCGTAAATCGAGGACTACCTGTAAAACAGAGTTGGGGGGGGAAAAAACCAAAGTCCTGGCTCCTAAATCACCCCCCCAGGAGAGTTTAGGAGCTGACCTCTGCCCTTTGCCCTCTGACCTGGCCTTGGATTCCTATAACGATCATCAGAAACAAAGGAAATCCCAACGCAGCCTTCCCTGTTCCTTCTTCCGAATTCCCCGCTTACCTTCCGTGACGTCACTGCCGAGCGCCGGGAATGCCTGCAGCCTCGTAGGGGTCGCACGCCTAACGTTCAACCACCACCCAAGCCCAGTCAGAGCGGCTGGTTTTCTGATCCAAAAACAAAGCCCAATTTCGCTTATTTGCATCATCTAAATTGCATCATCAAAGGGCGCCAGTTAGCAGAGAAAGCCCTGCCTTTCTTTTTTTCTTCAGAGTCAATTGCAATTTAAATGTAGAGCCACTAGATGGCAGTCGAAGCCTGCTTTCTCTTTCCGGCGCCTTTAAGGTTTCCTGCCGTTCCTCAATTTTGGCCCTTTTAAAATGCTTGGATCTCAAGTCACAAAATTTCCCAGCCAGTGGAACTCTGGGAGTTGTAGTTTAGATTTCTTAAAGGGGCCAAGGTTGGAAAACACTAGTTAACTACTAGACCTTCCTAATTTGGTGGCTTTTGCTTCTGTTCTGCAATTCCAGCCTGGGGGATAATGGGAATTGTAGTGTGAGACATTTGGAGGACATGGGGAAAGTATTTTAGGCAAATTCCCATGGACCCTGTTCTGATCCTTTTTGGAAGGTGTTGAAAATTGTATTCATGTCAATGCAGTTAATCATTGGGAGGGACGGTTAGAGTATTATTAAATTCATATTATGTTTTTTAAACTACTGTTTTGTATTAGTATATATTTTTGAGCGTAGTCAGTCTTGTCTGATTTTACGCTAATTCAGCGGTATAAGTTAGATTGGGTACTTGAAAAATCATTTTGGAAGAATGAAGTGTTTTTTAGCTGTCCATCTGGAAGACCCAGTGAGTCAGACAGAGTTGCTTCCCCTTCATTTAAAAAAAAAATAAATATTTTTAAAAATCTGAAGTAGTTGGTTTTTCATATGCAATAAACTTAGACCTCACATTAATTTTTTGGTCAAAAACAGAGATGCATCAAAATAGAAGAAAGTGGTGGCCGTCTATGCTTTTGAAAGTCAGTCACTCGTGGAATAGAAAAAGCAACTTTCTTTTGTTTCAGATGTGGTCCCCTCCAGCCTGCTTAGAAGAAAGAAAGTCGATTGCTGATACAACATTAGACTATTGCCACTGGAGACTCATTTAAGCAGCGTTGCTTAGCTTTGAGAACTCTCTAGAGTGGAAAGGAAGAGTAAAGTAGCAGGGGACACAAAACCGCTTCTTCGCTGGCTAGACATTTCAAGACCAAGGACACAGAAAGAAGGTTGTAGTCTAACAATTCAGAAACATACATCACTTGATTTTTGAGTTTTTGCCAAAAGCAAAAGGTAAATGTGCACATAATGTAAATTTTCATTTTAAGTCTTGTTTCAGCATCAATGAGATGCTACTATCACCCAAACTTTCATAAAACAATTCTGATCGTGGGGGGAAAAAAACAACCCTAATCACCAGGAAATTGCTACATATATCAGATTTAGACATCAGAAATCTGCATGATCACCATATGGGGGCAATCTTGGCCCCATCTCAGGGCCATCCATATCTTTCCAACCCAGTGTCTGTCTTTCCTATAAGTCTAAAATCATTGCTTTCCAACCTCAGCAACTTTAAGTTGGGTGGACTTCAAATCCCAGAATTCTCCAACCAGTATCCTAAAATTGCCGGGGTTGAAAAAGACTGATTTAGATCAGGGATCTCCAACCTTGGCAACTTTACGACTTGTGGACTTCAACTCCCAGAATTCCTCAGCCAGGATGCGCTGGCTGAGGAATTCTGGGAGTTGAAGCCCATAAGTCGTAAAGTTGCCAAGGTTGGAGACCCCTGATCTAAATCAGTGTTTCTTAAACTCTTTTTGAAGGACCTCAGAAGTCTCTCTGGGGTCTGCAAAATTTTTTTTAAAAAATTGCCAGATATTGAAGACATTTGCAAAAATTTTAGCGTCACTCTTATTATTTTCAACTGTTAAAAAATAGTTTTTTCACGAAAAATATGTATATTAATATTGAATGGGTTTAATATTTTTATATGTTTCAATAAATTCTACAAATGCGTCTGTTTTAATATGGTAAAGCATCAATAAACATAACCCGCATAAGCAGAAACTCTTTTGGGGGTTCTCCATAATTTTTAAAAGTTATAAATTGGGGTTCTGGGAGGGCCAAAAATTCAAGAAACATTGTTCTAGATTAGAAGAAGAGCCAAGCCCGCCTTCCTTCCTTTAAAAACGGCCATTAGCCGGACGAGGCAGCCATTGGACTTCCCTTCTGCCAGTCAAACTATTTTTCTCCCGCCTACTCCAAAGACGAAGGGCGACTCCAAAAAGGCTCTTCAAGCAACGTGACGTCATCTGTTGCCGACGACCAGCAAGCGAGACGACGCGAGTGAGGACTGAAAGGGGTAGGAAAGGCCTAATGCAGCCTCAATTCGAAGTGAAATCAATGGGAGGGGAGAGAGAAGGTGGGGGGGGGGAGTCTGTGGGATTCTGAAAGTTATGATTCAGGGAGAAAATGTGTAAATTGAGGACAGGGAGGAGCTCGGAGGTGAAAGGTGGATAAATGCAGGTAGCAGCCAGAAAGAAAAACAGAGTTTTTTTTTAAAAAAAAACAAGTTTTATTTGTTTTTTTTCTTTTCTCCTCTCCCACCTTCACCCACATCTTTCTTTCTTTTTTGAACAGATTGTTGGTCGTTTCTTATCTTATACAATTAGTCAAATTCAAATACATTTTACTCAATTACAATTTTTGTCAATATCGTCTTCCCCCTCTTTTCTTTTCTTTTTTGAATCTACCTCAGTATTTCTATACTTGCATATATAAACACCTTTTTCATTTATCCCTAAATTCTAACTTTACTAGTTGTACGTATTTATCCCCTTTTATTCTTTAACAAATATAAAATTTATTAGGAAGAAGAATGAGAAAAACAGGGGTGATGCTTAGTTGTGTTGCCTGTGAAATAAAATAGAATAGAATAACAAGAGTTGGAAGGGACCTTGGAGGTCATCTAGTCCAACCCCCTGCTCAGGCAGGAAGCCCTATACAATTTCAGACAAAAATTTTTTGATTTGATTTATATGCCGCCCTTCTCCGGAGACTCAGGGCGGCTTACAATGCGTTAAGCAATAGCCTTCATACTTATGTATATTTTATACAAAGTCAGCTTATTGCCCCCACAATCTGGATCCTCATTTTACCTACCTTAGAAAGGATGGAAGGCTGAGTCAACCTTGAGCCTGGGGAGAACTTGCAGTAATTGCAGGCAGCTGATGTTAATAACAGCACTGTTAATAACAGTGCTTTAGTCTGCTGTGCCACCAGGCAAATGGTTGTCCAATCTCTGCTTAAAAACATCCAGTGTTGGAACATCCACAACTTCTGGAGGCAAGTCGTTCCACTGATTATTTTTTTCTCACCGTCAGGAAATTTCTCCTCAGCTCTAGGTGAAAGCTTTTGCTGGAGAAACGTTTTGGAGCCAAGTCACATGAGGGAGCTGGGAGGAGAGTCTGAAATAAGTAAAATACATTATCACTTGTGAGGAGTTGGTATCATCAGTTTAAGTTGTGTGATGTTTTGCTGTATTGTTTCAAAGGAGGGAGAGGTGGGGTAAAATTTTAGGAGAGAGGTGTAAATCTCCCCTTGCCTGCTTTTTCTCTTACAGGTAGTCCTCAACTTACCACAGTTTATTTAATGACCATTCAAAGTTACAACGGCACTGAAAAAAAGTGACTTATGACTGTTTTTCACACTTACAAGTGTTGCAGCATCTCCATGGTCATGTGATTTACATTCAGATGCTTGACTCATGACGGTTGCTGTGTTCCAGGGTCATGTGATCACCTTTCGTAACCTTTTTACAAGCAAAGTCCAATGGGAAAGCCAGATTCACTTAACAACAGTGTTACTAATTTAATAAGTGCAGTGATTCACTTAATAGCTGTGGCTAGAAAGGTTGTATAATAGGGCAAAATTCACTTAACAAAAGTTTCACTTAGCAGAATTTTGGGCTCAATTGTGGTTGTAAATTGAGCATTATCTGTACACAGTTGCTTATTTCTATGCTTGTGTCATTTGCATTCTTTTTAGAGAGTCATTGAGGCTACTTGGAGGTTTATCCGTCCTCAGGGTCATCTGAGTAGTCATCTAACTCCAGTCTACAAAGCAGTCCTTTCGGTAGTTACCAGAAGGCTCTGCACCCATTTGCACTACTCAGGTGACCCTGAGGACAGATAAACCTCTAAGGGCTCTCAATGACTCTCTAAAAGAATGCAAATGACCAGCTGTCTGCAAGGACTATAAATCCTGCCATTCTCCACCATCCACGTTAGAGCTGAAGAAGTTTCTTGGATAAGAAGCAAAACGGCTTCAAAGAAAAATCAGTCCAGTTGCCTCTTGAAAAAAGCACTTTTGGGACTTTTAAGGGAAGAGGTACTTTGCTTAATTGCTGCATGCCGATCTGACATTATGTAAAATCCAGCAGTTTTTAAAATATGCCAAGCAAATGGGGAAAGCATGAGGGTTTGTAATGCCAAAGATTTACCAGGGACTATTTTAAATACAAAAAAAGGTGGCAGAATGTTTCCTGGAATGAGAATCAAGGAACCATTTTGATGGGGTTATTAGAGGGACTACAGTTTGTGAGAAGCCGCACAGAAGCTGTTTGCACAGAAGCAAAGCAATGCGTTAAACAAAAGGAAAAATTTGAAAATGGAAAATGATATAGAATGAATGGGGAATAACAAAGAAAACATTTGGCGAACATTATAGGTAGTCCTCGACTTACGACCACAACTGAGCTCAACATTTCTTCTGCTAAGTGAGACATTTGTTAAGTGAGCTTTGTCCCATTTTACGACCTTTCTTGCCACCGTTGTTAAGAGATTTCACTGCAGTTGTTAAGCTAATAACATGGTTGTTAAATTGAATCTAACTCCCCCATTGATTTCGCTTGTTAGGTCGCAAAAGATGATGACGTGACCCCGGGGCATTGCAACTGTCATAAATATGAGTCAATTGCCAACCGTCTGGATTTTGATCACGTGATTGTGGGGATGTTGCAATGGTGGTAAGTGTGAAAATATCATAAGTCACTTTTTTCAGTGCCGTTGTAACTTTGATAGGTCACTAACCGAACTGTTGTAAGTGGAGGACTCTTATCTGTACAGCCAAATGAGCAAAAATCAACAGACTGGTTACATACGTACTCAATCTTAAACCTTCACTCTCACTCTCTCCAGCCCTATGAAGCGGAAGCACCAGCTCCTTTCTGATACTTTCAAGGCCAAGAAGCGACGGCTGGCTCCGAGTGACGGATCCGAGCCTTCAGGACAGGGTGAGAAAGAGTGAAATGCACTTTGCACGAAGCACCTGCTTTGGGGCAGGTGAATGAAAAAGGAGGGAGTTTGTAAATGGAGTCAGAGGAGGTCTTTATGGAAATGCTAAGACGTGAGACTTCTCCGTTCTTATCTTAGCTGTTCCTTTTCTCAGAGGGCCCTGCGGCAGTCGAAGCTGCTCTTCAGAATCTGGTATCTCTCTTCCCTCGCAAAGTATTTGAAGATTGCCTGCCGCCGTTGATTCTGAGGCATCAGATCTACAGTCTTGTCAAAGATCGTACGGTTGTGGACAGACATCTGGTAAGAACCTTCTGCCTGGTTGGGATACAGCAACATCAGCAGCGAGGTAACACAGCCAAGATGGTGGTCACAGCAGCCCAATCGAAGCCCCATCCATTGTGTGGGTGTGCGTGTGTGGGTATGGGTAAAGGTTCATCTTCCAAGCTTGTGGGTTGGTTTCCGAACATTTCATTACAAGACTAGGTAACATCTCCAGTGGAGTTTAGGGGATGTCGGTGTTTTTCTGTTTATAAGGGCTCAGGTGTGGGTGTATCTTCTGACAGTTCTTGTGATGAGTCATCTATGAGTCTTGTGATGGGTCTTGTGATAAGGAGATTACCTCAGGTCAGGGTCCTTTGGAGGGCGAACTGATAAGTGTGTGTGAGCGAGGGGGAAATTGCATGAGGTGGTTGAGGGTTGGTGCTGTTGATTTGGATTTTGAAGAGTTGGTAGGCTGGTTATAGGCCAACATGTCTGTTGATGGAATTGCTTGTGGAGTGCCCGGCTTCAATGAACTCACGAGTGTGGCGGGTGGTAGCGTGGGTGACGATTTTTGTGTTGCTCCAGTTGAACTGGTGCTGTTTGGGGTCAGTGTAGGTAGAGATTAAGGAGATAGGTAGGTAGGTAGGTAGGTAGGTAGGTAGGTAGGTAGGTAGGTAGGTAGGTAGATAGATAGATAGATAGATAGATAGATAGATAGATAGATAGATAGATAGATAGATAGATAGATCATATGCATGTACAAAAGAGATGAGATTTTGATTGCATTGCTGCAACTTCCACCTTGACTCTTTTGACCTCTCCCAGAGGTGCTGCTGTTCTGTCACCTTTAATCTGCGTCCATTGTCAAAGAATGGAGGCAGTCCTCGACTTATGACTTAATTTAGGGACCGTTTGAACTTAACGGTGACATTGAAAGAAGTTACTTACAACTTACCAGTCCCTGCACTTCTGAATACAGGTAGTCCTCGACTTAACGATCACAGTGGAGCTCAAAATTTATGCTGCTAAGTCAAAACGTTTGTTCAGTTTTGCCCCATTATATGACCTTTCTTGCCCTGGTTGTTAAGTGAATCATCGTCATAGTTGTTAAGTTAGCCACATGGTTGTTAAGTGAATCCGGCTTCCCCAATGACTTTGCTTGTCAAGAGGTCGCAAAAGGGGATCATGTGGACACTGCAACTGTCGTAAATATGAACCAATTGCCAAACATCTGAATTGTGATCACGTGACTATGGGGGAATGCTGCAATGGCCACAAGTGTGAAATACCGTCATAAGTCACTTTTTTCAGTCCTGTTGTAACTTCAAACGGTCACTAAATTAACTGTTGTAAGTTGAGGACCACCTGTACTACAGCATCCCCGTGATCATGTAATAAAAAATTGGGCGCTTGGCAGCAGGCATGTATTTATGACAGTTGTAAGGTTCAAGGATCATGTTGTGGCCCGTCAGATTGTGCAGATTGTAGCTGATTCCAACAATGAGGAGGCTGGTGTGGTGCTGCGTCAGCAGCCTGGGCAGCTGGCGCTCAAGTCAGACAGTGAGGAGGCTGGAGTAGATGTGGTGCCAGAGGCAGGGATTCAGCCAGGGCCTTCAGAACCTCCAGAAGCTCCTTTAAGTGAAGAGGAAGAAGAGGAGGAACCTCTTCTCAATGCACGGGTGCGCAGAGCTGCCAAAAGGCAGGAATGGTTCCTCAGGAGGAGGTCTCCTCGAGAGTAAGGCTTGGGGCTAATTGGCCACTCCCTTAGCCTATTTAAGGAGGACCGTCACTTTCAACAAGCTGTAGAGAACAACTTTAGTTCACTCTCCTTCGTATCTGCAAAATTGCTTCTGGGCTTTCTGCCAACTCTAGTAAGACTATGATTACCTTATCGTAGAATTCTGGTAGGCTGTTAAGACAGTTTAATAACAGCCTTTGAATGATAAAGAATAAGTTATTTGAGTAAAATAAGCTTTGTATAGAGTTTGTGTGTGCTGCGTTCTTTGGGGTCCGTAGCTGGGGCAGAACAGGTCCTTGGTGCTCTCTGAGCTGGGTTATTTTCCTGCAGATGATTCATTACCCAAGCTAGGTAAGATAATCAGTGTTATAACTAGCACTGTTGATCTTACCTCCGAAGGAGATGAGAAGTTCAGAAATACAAAGTATAATTCCAATACACAACCTGGTCATAAATTTTTCAATTTCTACCTTCAAAATGATGCTATAGGATAGGGCCGTGATGGCAAATCTGTGGCACGTGTGCCAGAGGTGGCATGCCGCGCCCTCTCTGATGGCATGTGAGCTGTCACGCAAGTTCAGATCTGCTGCGCATGTGCGCACGCCTCCTGCCAGCCAGCTGGTCTTTGGGTCTCTGCCACGCATGCGTGGGGGTGGGGCACCTGCGGGGGGGGGCGTGCGTGCATGCCCGGGGGTGCACACATGTCCGGAGTGGGGTGCATGCAGGGGGCCGCATGAGCATGCATGGGGGCATGCCACATTGCGTTTTGGGGGTTTGGATGCACGCATGCACATTTGTGTGCTTATGCATGTGCTTTAGGCACTCGGTCCAGAAAAAGTTAGCCATCACTGGGATAGGGCATTGCCCACCCGAACAACTAGACACAAGGGTAGTTTTCTTCCCTAGTTCCATCATGATTACGCAACAGCCATAACTGCAGGAAGCAGTCGTAGGTCGCTTTCGCAGCCCCGTCGTAACTTTGATCACTAAGCAAAGGGGTCATAAATCAAGGCCTTCCTGCAGCTAAGCCTGGATGAAGATGAAGCTAATAAGAACAAAAGGACAACAGCTAAGATTGCTTTGTTCCTATGAGTAGATCTGCTCAGTGGTGGGATTCATTTAAATTACTGCCCCACCCCTCCCTGCTCCTTCCAGGAGTCCCCACGTGCCCCATTTTGGCTCCCAGGTAAGTGCCGGGGTCTGCAACCTTAAACACTCAAAGAGCCATTTGGACCCATTTCCCACAGAAAAGAAAACACCGGGAGCCACAAAAACCTTCCCAGGCCGGACTATTTATTGAGCGGCATTCTTCTTCTTCTTGTGCCATGTCCATCATGGGACGTTGACGATCATGTTGGCAATCTTATTTTTGTCAACGGCCGCGTGAAAAAGTGCTGCTGAGTTTTGTCCAAACCGGTCGGTCCCTTAGGTTTTGAAGCCGCGATATTCTTCTTCTGCCTGGACCTCGTTTGCCTTCAATCTTTCCCTGGAGGACGAAGTGAAGGACACCGTATTTTTCTGGATGTCGCATGACATGTCCAAAGTATTCTAACTTTTGCTTTTTAATAGTTTTGATGATTTCCCTTCGCTTTCCCAGGCAGTTTATCACCTCCTCATTTCTGATTTTGTTAACCCAACTTATAGATCTGCGCACCTTCCGCCGCGCTTTAAAGACCTTATTATTTCACCAGGCGGGTCTGGCCTAATCTTCTCCCTCTTTTATAAAAGATTTTTAATTTTTAAATACCTTTTAGTATTTTATATATTTAATTTTAAAATTGGTTTTAAATAGTTTGGGGTTTTAATTTGTCTGGGCCAAAATTATTTAATTTGATTTTAATTCTACTTTTAAATTTTGTATGTATGTGTTTTACTGTTTGGCTGTGCACCGCCCTGAGTCCTTCGGGAGTAGGGCGGTATAGAAATCAAATCAAATAAATAATTAGGTAACAGCCGCCTGTCAATCCACATTTCAAATGCTTCTAGTTTCTTCAAGTGGTTTTCTGTCAGAGACCAATTCTCCAATCCTTAGAGCAGGATTGAAAAGATGGAACATCTGACAAGCCTGATTTTCAATCTTAGGCTTATGTCGTGACTGCAGAAGACGTTTTCCATTTTGAAGAACGCTGTTCGAGCTTTCCCTATCCTTGTCTTTACTTCACTGATCATGTCCCAAAACTAGGATAGGTAGTTGAATTAAACGTTCTGTTTTCTTCTGAAACATTTATCTTTTCTTGGATTTATCCATGGTTGGCCTACCGGGGCTGAAAAGCTCAATAAATCGTGTGCCGGCGGGTGTCGCACATTGGCGGTTGTGACGCATATTTTGAGTGATAGGGAGCAGCAGCAGAGAGGTGAAAGAGCCACATGCGGCTCCAGAGCCACAGGTCGCTGACTCCTATCTAGGCCCAAATGGAGCACGGGAGGTACAGCGCGTGCCCTGCCCCCGCAGCCTGTTTTCACTCACAGGAGGCTTCAGGGAGGTCTCCTAGGCCCAAAACAGGGAGCAGGGGGACGCCCCCCGCGGCCCGTTTTCACTCCCAGGAGGCTTCAGGGAGGTTCTCCTAGGCCCAAAACAGGGAGCAGGAGGACCCGCCCCCCCGTGGCCCATTTTCACTCCCAGGAGGCTTCAGGGAGGTCTCCTAGGCCCAAAACAGGGAGCAGGGGGACCCGCCCCCCCGTGGCCCGTTGCTGGCTGGGGAATTCTGGGAGTTGAAGTCCACACATCTTAAAGTTCCCAAGGTTGACAAACACTGCTGTAGACAATTCTTTATTGCAGCACATAGGCACACCTTCCCCAGCAACAGGCTATTATTGCTCTCCACCCTTCTAAATTTACCTTTAATATTTAGTCCTTTAATTACTTAGTCCAGGCAAAAGTCTATTAATCTGTAAAGTAACCCAACAACCTTCTAGAGTGTTTACTCTATTTTGGATGAAGTGCGGGATGAGATTCGCCGTGGTGGTTCTAATTGCTACTGGGCTCCCAGCAAAGCTCCAAGCTCCTCTCAGGACTTCCCCCATTTGTCTGAAATGGAATAGTGCACAGGTATCAAACTCACCATGTCACGTTGCCGTCACATGATGTTTTGCAACGTTTTTCCCCTTCGCGGAGCTGAAGTGGGCCCACATCTGGCCCACAGGCCGGCCATTGGACACCCTTGGTATAGGGCAGGGGTCTGCAACCTTAAACACTCAAAGAGCCATTTGGACCCGTTTCCCACAGAAAAGAAAACACCGGGAGTCACAAAATCCTTCCCATGCCTGACTATTTCTTGAGCGGCCACAAAACTAGCATATGTACTTGAATTAAACGTTCTGTTTCCTTCTGAATTTTTTTTTTCTTGGATTTATCCACCGTTGGCTTACCGGGGGTTGAAAAGCTCAATAAATCGCATGCCAGGGTGTCACACATTAGTGCTTGTGACGCATATTTTGAGTGACAGGGAGCCACAGCAGAGGGGTGAAAGAGCCACATGCGGCTCCAGAGCCACAGGTTGCTGACACCTGGTATAGGGTTTCCTGTTTGAGCAGGGGGTTGGACTAGAGGACCTCCAAGGTCCCTTCCACTTCTGTGATTCTGTTACTAGGATATGCTGCTCATCATAGCTTGTGGCCGTATAGGAGACCTGCTTGTAATAGCTGACACTCTCCAAACATCACTTCAGCTTCTTCATCCCTATGCCATTTGCTTATCACTTTTCCTCCTCTACACCCCTTCCCACTCTATCTTAGCATTTGTTTTTCTAAGCTAAACATCTGGGTGGGGCATATAATAATAATAATAATAAGGGCATGTTATTATAATAATAACAGAGTTGGAAGGGACCTTGGAGGTCTTCTAGTCCAGCCCCCTGCTTAGGCAGGACACCTACACCACTTCAGACAAATGGTTATCCAACATCTTCTTAAAAACTTCAGTGTTGAAGCATTCACAACTTCTGCAGGCAAGTCGTTCCACTGATTAAGTGTTCTCACTGTCAGGAAATTTCTCCTTAGTTCTAAGTTGCTTCTCTCCTTGATTGGTTTCCACCCATTGCTTCTTGTCCTACCCTCAGGTGCTTTGGAGAATAGCTTGACTCTCTCTTCTTTGTGGCAGCCCCTGAGATATTGGAACACTGCTATCATGTCTCCCCAAGTCCTTCTTTTCAGTAAACCTTACGTACCCAGTTCCTGCAACCGTTCTTCATATGTTTTAGCCTCCAGTCCCCTAATCATCTTTGTTGCTCTTCTCTGCACTCTTTCTAGAGTCTCCACATCTTTTTTACACCGTGGTGACCAAAACTGGATGCAGTATTCCAAGAGTGGCCTTACCAAGGCATTATAAAGTGGTATTAAAACTTCACGTGATCTTGATATAGTGAAGGAAAATTAACTTTAATTGATGATTGCCCTTTCCCTCACTCGCTTTTCAGTATCCCAGTGAAATAAAGCTTTGAAGATACTGGCCTTCAAGAAAGGGTATATTTCTTCCAGAAAAAGGAAGGATACCCAAACTACTTTTGTCACAATAGTGGATTCATAAAGCACACTAAACCAGGTCAGTTAAAAGACCAGGAACCACAACTGCAGCATATCCTAGTTTTACTTAGCTTTAACTTTCCTTACAGGTTGTTTTTTTTTAATACCCTGTTTCCCCTAAAATAAGACATCCCCTGATAATAAGCCCAATCGGCTTTTGAGCGCATGTGCTGAAATAAGCCCCCCCACCCCACCGAAAATAAGCCGTCCCCGAAAATATCTAAACACATGCGCAGCCAGTCCCCACCATTTCCCCGGGTTAGGGTTAGGGAGACAGACCTGGAAATCAGGTAAGATGGCAAGAGGAGCCCCATTTTGCTCCATGCACTCCAAAATAATAGGACATCCCTGAAAATAAGGCCAAGCACTTATTTCGGGGTTCAAAAAAACATAAGACAGGGTCTTATTTTTGGGGAAGCACGGTAGCTCTGCTATGCAAGCCAAAAAATTTTGGTTCAGCATATTGAGGGAATCTTTAAAAAAATTCAGAACTCCAACAACATGTTTATTGTGTGAACTCAACTATAAGATGGGTTTAGTTTGTTTTAATGTCCGATGGCTATAGATAATTGCTGTTTTTTCCTGCCATATTCGCCGATGCTTTTGTTGTGGTCCGCCAGCAGCCTGTGGAGCTGGCAGCAGAGTCGGACAGCGATGAGGCTGAGGAAGAACATGGGCCAGTCCTGGAGTCAGGGGAAGGCCCGGATGAGGGCTCTGCGTCGGAGGCAGAGATGGGGCCAGGGCCATCGGGGAGTGATGTGCGGACTTCGGAGCCTCCAGAGGCTGACAGTAGAGAGGCAGAGGAACAGGAGGAGCCTGTAAGAGAAGAGCTGCCAGAAGGCAAGAGCAGCTAAAGCAAAGAGGACGACTCGGGAGTAGGGCCAAGAGATGATTGGCCCCTCCCATAAGGCTTAAAAGACCAGCAACGGCATTTGGGCTCTTTGTCAGAAAAGACGTTGGCGTCTTCTGCTTTTGAACTTTTCCCAAGAGAAACCTTTGGCAGTTTGCCTAATTATACCAAGGTTGGTGATTAGACTGAAGAATTTGTATTATGAAGAGTTTGCTTTAATTTAGTTTGGACTACGCTGAGAATGAGTTAATTCTCAGCTGTTCTAATAAAGTCTGTTCGTTTTGGAACTGTTTGTATCGATTACTACTTACTTGGGCCTGGGTCACAACAGCTTTGCTCGGCTTTTTATGCTCTGCTTTGTCTCTTCCTCAAAATTCACATGCCATATCTGCTTCTGGAAACAAACTCTGAAACTCTTTTTTCTCTCTGTAGAGCCAGCTGAAAAATGAGGGCCGGATCCGAATGTTTCAGCATAGCATTGAAGCGGATTTTTTTGTGGTGGCATTCACAGACAGCTACGTATCTAAGGTTGGCTTCTACCAAAGGGGGCCATGGATGGGGTAGAAGAGCCAAAGAGCCAGCAAGCTGGTGATGACGGTCTTATTTTATTTTTTCTCAGGTGCAGGAATTTATATCGGGAAAGGAGTTTGCCAGGACAGTGAAGAAGTTTTTAGATTCAGTCCTTACCGTTTGCCCTGACATCAGTTTCGACAAGAAAAGGATGTTGAAAGATTTCGGCTTTAGGGACACAGAAATCACGTAAGCAGACGGAAGAGTCCCTTGAGCTACCAATTTTCCTGCTGTTCCGTACCTATTTCCCACTCCCCTCCTTTCACTGTTTGCCAACTTTTTCTCCAAATTAAACTCATTCATTGTGTGTCTGTTGGCCGGGGAATTCTGGGAGTTGAAGTCTACCCATCTTAAAGCTGCCGAAGTTAAAAAAAACACTGTTACATAGTTTTGCTTGTGATTTAAAACAAATATGCCTCTCTGCCAGGGGTGAAATGCTCCCAGTTTGGACCAGATCACCTGATCCGGTAGCGATGGCAGTGGAACCGGTAGCAAAAATCCCTGTGCGCCCCCCTCCACCATGCTCAGCTGAGTCGCACGCTCATCAGAGGCTTTTTTTTTTTTACTTTTAAAAGCATTTTTTCAACAACCTCTTCCGACGAAAAAATGCTTTTAAATGTAAAAAAAAAAGCCTCCGATGATCGCGCGGCTCAGCTGGGATCGTCAGAGGCTTTTCAAAGCATTTTTTTCTGCAATCTCTTGGCCGAAGAGGTGGTTAAAAAAGTGCTTTGAAAAGTCTCTGATGATCCCAGCTGAGTTGCCTGATCGGCAGAGGCTTTTCAAAGCATTAGAAAAAATGCTTTGAAAAGTTAAAAAAAAAAAAAAGTTGTCCACGCCCACTCAGTCACATTAAACCCCACCACCACCAAGCCATGCCCACAGAACCGGTAGTAACAAATTTTACATTTCACCCCTGCTCTCTGCTTTCTGAGAATGCACGCCCACGTTACAAAAGGCAACTTCTTTGGGAGAACTTCAATCTCCCAAGATCGGGTCATAGTCTTGTCTCATTCAGGGTTCTGTTTCCCACAGTGGCTAACTACTGTATTTCCCCAAAAATAAGACCCAACCGGAAAATAAGCCCTAGCATGATTTTTCAGGATGCTCGTGATATAAGCCCTACCCCTAGAATAAGCCCCAGTTAAAATTGTCCACCAGACAGAAGCATTTAGTACCGTATTTTCCCCCAAAATAAGACCTAACCAGAAAATAAGCCCTAATGAATCTTTTGGAGCAAAAAATAATATAAGACCCAATCTTATTTTCAGGGAAACACAGTAAATCAGGGGTGAAATTAAAAAATTTCCTCTACTGGTTCTGTGGGCGTAGCTTGTTGGGGGAAGGTCATGTGACTGGGTGGGCGTGGCCAACTTGACTGATGTCACATCGAGGGGCTCCTCACCGGCTCCTCCCCTCCCAGCCACTCCTTGTCGCAAATGGCAGGAAAATGGGAAGAGGAATATTCCTGCCTACCATCCTTCCCTCAGTCTGTGCTGAGATTGAGGAATGGATGACAGGCAGGAAAATTACCTTCCCCATTTTCCTGCCTTTCACAAAAATGGCTCCATTCCAGCTGTTTCCCCCCACCCCTGTCCCTCTCCCTCCTGGGGGCTACCTTAAAGGGACAGGCTGCAGCAGCTCCGTTGCAAATGGAGGGAGAAAAGTTAGCATTTTCTCTGCTGCATTTAACATTGAATTCTGTGGCAGAGAGAATGCTAACTTTTCTCCCACCATTCAGAACGGAGATGCTGCTCCCTTTATGGTTCCCTCCTGGCCCCCTCCCTCCTGGGGACTACCTTAAAGGGACAGGCTGCAGCAGCTCCGTTCTGAATGGTGGGAGAAAAGTTAGCAGTCTCTCTGCTGCATTTAACATTGAATTCTGTGGAATATCGAGCGGCCGGAAGAGGTGAGCGGCAATCGGCCAGGCATGGGTGGGGCCAAGGAGTGGTAATTACTACAGGTTTGGCAAACTGATGCCCATAATCCCTAGTGGTTTGCCCAAACCGGTCCGAACCAGTAGGATTTCACCCCTGTGGTAGACACCTTGGAATGTTGTTTGACAACTCATACAAAGGTAGTCATTGTCTTCTTTTTTTTTTCAATTTACAATATTTTATTAGATTATAGAATAAAATACAAGAGTACAAAAGCAAATAGTAGGACACAATGGGGAGGAGGAGGAAAAAGAAAAGTGAGGAGAGGAGGGAGAAAAAAAAAAGCCGCTTATGACCACAATTAAGCCCAACATTTCTGTTCCTAAGCAAGATAGATGTTCAGTGAGGCTTGCCCCATTTTACAATCTTGCTTGCCTCAGTTATTAAATGAATTGCTGCATTGTTAAGTTAATAACACAGTAAGTTAAGTGAATCTGGCTTCCCCATTGACTTCGCGTATCTGAAAAGGCAGAAGAGATTAGTCCACAAATCAGCTATACATTGTTAGTCGTGGAATAAATCACAATGGACATTTACTTTTTCCCTTTCTGCCTTTTCTTCAGGCAGCTGGTGAATGCTGGCGTCTTGACTGTCCGTGATGCCGGGAGCTGGTGGCTTGCCGTGCCTGGAGCAGGCCGCTTCATCAAATGCTTCATCAAAGGTGTGTCTGTTCACACATTGTGCTAAGCAATAGTTGTAGTTTGTTGGCTGGACTCATACATGATGCTAAGAAGCAAAATAAACAAATCACATGATCAGTCCGAGCCTGTGACTTTTGAAACCTGCAAGATTTCACTAGATTAAGCAAGTCCCAAATTTGCATCCAGAACCAGCAAATTATATTTCAGTTTTTTTGGGTAGTAGAAACTTCTTCGCATTTTAAATTCGTGAAACCATTACAATTTAGAGTGGCTCTTTCATTTGAAGGTTTGTTTTTGCAAACTAAATTGCAAACTTGCAAACTGCTGCAAGAAAAAGGGGGAAAAAAGAACAGTTCTCCATTACCTTATCCAGTGCAGGATGTCCAGTCTTGAACTCGACTCTAATGCTGGAATTTGTCAGACCTGCCCTGACTTGGTCCCTTAGCCAAAAAAAGACCCTTGACTCCATTTGTAGCGAGGGCTATACTCAGGAGCCGGAGTGGCGTAGGAGGCTAATGCCTCCTAAGGCAGCATTTAACATCCAGCTGCCTGCAATTACTGCGAGTTCAATTCTCACCAGGCTCAAGGTTGACTCAGCCTTCCATCCTTTCTAAGGTAGGTAAATTGAGGACCCAGTTTGTGGGGGCAATAAGCTGACTTCGTATAAAATATACAAAAGTATGAAGGCTATTGCTTAACGCATTGTAAGCCGCCCTGAGTCTCCGGAGAAGGGCGGCATATAGATAAAAAAAAAAAAAAAAAAGAGCCAAGTGGATTACAGAATGACAAAGCCAGAACTGAAGTTCGCTTGCCAAAACCTCCCAGTTAAACTTTCCTGGTCCAATTCCTCTCCTCCCCTATTCCATTCTTGTCCAATTATATTTGCATAAATTGTTTTTGGAACAGTCTCTTCGATGGAGGGCTGGTTGCAGGGGTGGGTTCTAAAAATTTTTACTACCGGTTCTGTGGGCGTGGCTTATTTTGTGGGCGTGGTTTGATGGTTATGTGACAAACAATTCTTTAGGATTTAGCAGAGGTACTGGTCTACCAGGCTTTTAACTGCTTGCAGAGCTGTACCGGTCTACCCATTTGTTTTTGGAGTGTTCCGTTCTACCCATTTGTTTTTGGAGTGCACTGGTCTACCACCACACTGCCTTTTACCGCTGATCAGCTGTAGGGCGGCCCTTTGAAGCACCGCAGCAAGAGTTTAAAACAGTTTTTTGCCGCTCTGCCACCACCAAGAGCATCGGAAACCGCTTTAAGGCAGCTTGGCCTCAATTGCCAATCTAACGCCACCGAGCGGTTTACAAGGAGCGGATCGTTTTTAGCCGATCATTTGGGAGGCTTCTTGGCTTCTCAATTTAAAGCTACGGTGTCTTGGGTTTTTTCCTCTTCTTTGTCAAGTGAGCCCTGATTTTTTTCCTTCTAGCCGATCAGCTGGGACTCAGGAGGCAGCGAATAGATTGGGGGCAGGCCCAGGCAGAGGTGGTATTTACCAGATCTCCGAACTACTCAAAATTTCCACTACCGGTTCGCAAGAACCGGGGAGAACCGATAGCAACCCACCACTGGCTGCTTGGTTGGTGAGCTGTTGCATTCCATTCTCAGGGTTTGACCCTAGAGATGGTGTCTCTGGAAGGCACAATGAATTTGTAGTCTTCCCTCTCCCATCCAGCTCCCTCCCCCGCAGTGCATAGCAGACTGAGAGCTAGCAAAAGCAAAGCTGAAGCGTAGGATGGCAGCTCTGACAGTATGTTTCCGAAAGCAGCTGCTCGCTGACCATTCTTCTCTTCCCAGGAAGGAAAGCCGTTTTGGGGATGATCCAGAAATCCAAATACAAGGAAGTCCTACTGTCTGATTTGCAGAGCCGTCAAGCGCCCAATGCGGTGAAACTGGGCCTTCCCTACCATATTCACGACATCATTGGAGCCCAGCTGGTTGACTGGTATTAGATTCCTTTTTCTTCTCTTTCTTGTCTCCGTTCCCTTCTATTTACGGCTTCCAGGAACACACCCAGGCAATCCTACATCGATTCATTTAGCAACTGTTTGAAGTTACAGCCGCTTTGAAAAAAAGTGGCTTACAACCGATCCTCGCGCATACAACCGTCGCGGCATCCCCACGATCGCATGATTAAAATTCGGATGCTTGGCAGCCATCGTACATTTATGAGAGCTGTGACATCCTGGGTCCATGTCATTGCCATTTGTAACCTTCCCAGCTGGCTTCTGACAAGCAATGTCCATGGGGAAGCTGGATTTGCATAATACTACATGATTTAGTTAAGGGACGCGGTGGCTCGGTGGCTAAGACGCTGAGCTTGTCGATCAGAAAGGTCAGCAGTTTGGCAGTTCGAATCCCTAGTGCCTCATAACGGAGTGAGTTCCTGTTACTTGTCCCAACTTCTGCCAATTTAGCAGTTCGAAAGCGTGTAAAAATGCAAGTAGAAAAATAGGGACCACCTTTGGTGGGAAGGTAACAGCGTTCCGTGCGCCTTTGGCGTTTAGTCATGCTGGCCACATGACCACGGAGACGTCTTTGGACAGCGCTGGCTTTTCGGCTTTGAAACGGAGATGAGCACCGCCCCCTAGAGTCGGGAACGACTAGCACATATGTGCGATGGGAATTTTTACCTTTACCTTTACCTTACATGATTTAGTTAGATTAGAAACTGCAGTGATTCACTTAACCATGACAAAAAAAAAGTTGTAAAATCAGGCCACACAACTCACTTAATAATCCCCTTCCTTAGCAATCAAAATTCTGGTCCCGAATGTGGTTATATGTTGAGGACTATTCTCCCCCCCCCTCTTGGATTTTTGACCTTCTCAGAAATAAAATAAAGGGATTTATTTATTCTGTCCCTTCCAAAGAACCCAAGTTGGAATGCTGATATAGGTAAACAGGGTTTCTGAATCTTGTTCAGATATGTGGACTTCAGCTCCCAGAATTTCCCAGCCAGCATGCTGGCAGTAGAAGTCTACGTATCTTAAAAGTTGCCAAGGTTGGCAAGCACTGGTTTAGAGATAACTGCACGTTTTAACAAGAGGATCAGTGGGTTAAACATTTCGGTGTCTCAAAAGCCCATTCACGTGTCTCCGTACCATTGTTATTTGACATTCCTCTTGAGAAGTCTTTAAGGAATCCAGTCAGATCCTAGAATTTGAGAATGTCTTTACAGATAAAACTGGGCAGCCACAAAAGTCGAAGGCCAGATCTTCTGCTATCTAATCTGTCCTTGGGATTCTAAGGTTACTCCTAGATATTTGCCTATCGGGTTCATTTTAAATATCCTGTGTCTGCTATCCATTTTGAAATAGCATTCTCCCATCTTACCTTACCATCACATTGAGCAATTCTGAGAGTTGGTTGAAGTACAACAGAACTATGGAGATTTCAGATAGGAATAGAATAAGAATTAGGATAGAATAGAATAGGAATAGGAATAGGAATAGGAATAGGAATAGGAATAGGAATAGGAATAGAATAGAATAGAATAGAATAGAATAGAATAGAATAGAATAGAATAGTTAATTGGCCAAGTGTGACTGGACACACAAGGAATTTGTCTTTGGTGTACATGCTCTCATTGTACATAAAAGGGAAAAAAAGAAAAAAGAGTGGAAAAAAACATTCAAGAATCATAAGATACAACACTTAGTTATAGTCATAGGTTACTAATAAGCAATCAAATCATACTAGGAAACAAACGGAACAATATAAATCGTAAAAATACAAGCAACATGGTTATAGTCATAAATGGGAGGAGGTAGATAATAGGAAGGATGAGAAGAAGAATAGTAATACAGTCTTAGTAAATAATTTGACAGTGTTGTGGGAATTAGTTGTTTAGCAGAGTGATGGCGTTCGGAAAAAAACTGTCCTTGTGTCTAGTTGTTCTGGTGTGCAGTGCCCTATAGCCTCGTTTTGAGGGTAGAAGTTGAAACAATTTATGTCCAGGATGTGAGGAAACCTTGTTTCCTGTCATTGCTTTGCTCTGAATGGAAGAGCATTGTTGCAAAGCAGTTTCTGGCTGTACTGGGAGGGATTATAATACTTCACCAGAGAGCTTTAATGATTAAATGATTGCCTTGTTCCATCAAAGGACAAACTCTTCCATGTGGGATAGCCCTGGTGAATGTCTGAACTTAGCGACAAGAAATACAAAATACAAAATTGTTTACTGTATTTTCTTTTCATACCGTTTTCATGCAGCTTGGCTATCTTTCTTTCCTGTTTTTAATGTTGACGATCTCTTTCTCATTCTCTCTAGCGTGCCAACGACCTCTGGGACCCTCCTGCGACTAAGAGACGATTAAAACTGTGCCATGCAGAGAACTGTGCCCAAAATAGACTATTTTGCCTTGAGATCTTTTTTTCACGTTGGGATTCGGGGTCTTCTGCTTGAGCCCCCGGCATTAGTGGGACCAGAAGAAACTTTTCCTCAGCAAAATAACCTTAACTGATCTAGAAATTGCACTTAATATAGGGGCTCCTTGTAGGGAACCATCTTAGAAGGATCGAGACAGGGGTGAAATGTAAAATTTGTTACTACCGGTTCTGTGGGTGTGGCTTGGTGGGGGGGTTAATATGACTGGGTGGGCGTGGCCAACTTTTTTTAAAAAAACTTTTCAAAGCATTTTTTCTAATGCTTTGAAAAGACTCTGCCGATCAGGCAACTCAGCTGGGATCGTCAGAGAGGCTTTTTTAAAAATGGCTCTCTGCCGATCAGGCAACTCAACTGGGATCGTCAGAGACTTTTCAAAGCATTTTTTTTACCACCTCTTCAGCCAAGAGGTTGCAGGAAAAAATGCTTTGAAAAGCCTCTGACGATCCCAGCTGGGCCACATGATCATCAGAGGCTTTTTTTTTTTTTTACTTTTAAAAGCATTTTTTCGTCGGAAGAGGTTGTAGAAAAAATGCTTTTAAAAGTAAAAAAAAAAAAAAAAAGCCTCTGATGATCGTGCGGCACAGCTGGGCATGGTGAGGGGGTGGGGCGCAAGGATTTTTGCTACCGATTCTCTGAACCACCCGCCGCCATCGCTACCGGATCGGATGATCCGGTCCGAACCGGGAGCATTTCACCCCTGGATCGGGACTACCCACATTAATGGTTACATGCATGGGCCTGAATTGAGAGTAAAATAAAATTATGCAGTCTTTGTTCATGAATTGCAGAGGCTGAAGTAAACTGAAAATGCTGATTGCAAGATATGCCCCCCTAGCCGATTCATTCCTTGAGTATGGTGTTAGGTATTTATTCTGTATACCTTGAGTATGGGTATACCTTGGGTATGAATTTTGTCACTTGTTGTAAAAAGAAAGAAGTTTGGAAAGCGTCTTTAAATGGAATTAAAGCCTCAAAGGATGTGCTTGTCTTTTATTCTCTTCGCACTCATTTTGTAGGAATATACATAACTATTTTTATGGGGGGTTTTTCCCCCCCCAATTCACAGGTGCATTTCAGATTACAGATAAATCCTCCATTTAAGAACAGTTCATTTAGTGACAGTTCAAAGTTACAGCATCGCTGAAAAAAGTCACTTACGACCGTTTTTCATACTTATGACCCTTGCAGCATCCCATTGCCCGTGGTCACGTGATCAAAATCTGGATGCTTGGTGACTGATTCATATTTATGACGGTTGCAGCATCCCAATGGCCATGTGATCAAAATTCTTGGCTTGGCAACTGACTCACATTTATGACGGTTGCACATTTATGACGGTTGCAACTGACTCACATTTATGACGGTGTCTTGGGGTCACGCGATCCCCTTTTGTGACCTTCTGACAAGCAAAGTCAACGGGGAAAGCCAGATTCACTTAACAACCGTGTTACTAACTTAACAACTGCAGTGATTCATTTAACAACCGTGACAAGAAAGTTCGTAAAAATGGGGCAAAATTCACTTAACAACTGTCCCACTTAGCAACAAAAGATTTGGGCTCAACTGTGGTCGTAAGAGAAGAACTAACTGCACTTTGATTCTAGCTTGTATAGTAGGCTTATTCTCCCTTTGTAAAAGGATCTAAGCACTTATTTGCCCTTTGTGATACAGGAAACTGCCTTATACTAGACACTGAACAGCAAATGCTTGTTCTTCTCTTTTCGGCAGTGTAAAATTAAGAATTGCAGTTATTACTATTGCTCATTCGTTACACAACTTCACATGTGCTTCCACTGAGTCACATGTATTTTGTTCATGTTCATTTTTCCCATCTGGAGAGATCGTTTTGAACAGTGCAGTTTCTAAGCTGTCCCCACCCTAAGTGATTTACTACAATCTAGAAATTTAGAATTTTTACTACAATCTAGAAATTTTTCTCATTCCTAGCCCCAGCGTATTTATGAAATGATTAGAAAATGTCACTTTTTTAAAGAAGATCTTTGGGAAGGACTCCTTCAAAACTAGCTATTTAATGCTGTGTTATTTTTTACTCTTCAATTTCCTCAGCAATCTCTGGGGGGGGGGAACCTTTGTTTTAAGGCTGGACTGCTAAGTTTTCATTATTGATATATCCCCCCAAAGTCAGGCAATTCATTATGAATCCGTATCCTGATCAAACGTATCTCTTTCTCAAAAGAGGATATTAATATCACAGAACAGGATCTGCCTTCTGCCGGTTGTGTATCTTTCCAGCTTCTCCAAATAGCTGATTCCCCCCTTCATCTTCTTTTTAGTACTGACAGCCAAAAAAGCCCATTTGTATAATAATTGTCAATTATTATCTTCCCTTGCCAGTCTGAGTTCTTTTTATGGTGTAGGGTTCAGCTTATCGATGCAGTAAAATATCTAACTCCAGGTGTAAAAAACAAAATCAAGAGAACCATATTAATTGTATTAATAGGGATTCAATAAAATCTGCAAGGTTATAGATATTGCAAAACTCCTAAATGGATCTCGTCAAACCTCCGTATAGTAGGCCGAAACCACACACATCTTTAAATCTCTAAAATAGTATGTCGTTCCAGCCATACATTTTAATATTTTATTTTGGGGCCATCCAACATACTTTGGGCATGTGGATCTGTGGGTTGCAGGACCAGGCATGCAACTCATGTGTTCTCCGGGACTTGCGACTCCTGCCCAGTGAGTAGATGGCAGTCATGGCTTGGAGAGCCTTTGCAACAATTTTATTGTGTGCCAGTTGCATTCTTTCCTAGATCAGGAGTCCTTGTGCTCAAGTCATTCAAGCCCTGGTCGTCTTCCAGTCGGACTGCTGGAACGTGCTCTACCCAGAGCTCCCCTTGGAAGAGTATCTGGAAATGTTCTGATCCAGCTCCCCAAACTCTCTGAAATTAAATCAATTATTCCTTTATTAGGAGCGCCAGCAGCCTCGGCAAAAAGTTTCTCTTTCACCTCAGGCTAATAAGTCTGTCTGGCAGGGAAATTAATAGTTGTCTGCCACATCTATTCATCTCTGCTCCCTGTCTTTTTTTTTTTTTAAAGAAACTTTATTAAGTTTAAAAACATAAATATATTAACATTTCCATTAATATCAGATGTGCAGTGGTTTTTTTTTTTAATTGAAAAAGTTTTTCAAATACAAATTTTACCCCCCCTTTCCCCCCCTCCTCCCTAACCCCCCCTCCCCCTCCCCTCCCCCTGTGGCTTCTTCAAAATAAAACCCGAATTCATAACAGATTATATACTACTTTAACATCCCCTTACTCCATCCCCCCTATGCTGACCCTTTCTTTCTAATAATATTATTATATCCCCCTTATACTATACATTTCGAAATAACATTCTACTATAACATTATATATAACTCCTAATTTAGCATAATAATATTATTATATCTCCCAGTTTAGCAATTTCTGCTCATAATCTACCCTTTTTCTCCCCCCCCCATACATATATCTCTTAAATCAAATCTTTTATGTATATTAATATAACATTTCAAAGCAACCTTCCACTATAAGACTATATAATAAATCCTAATTTAACATTGGTTTTAACTAGTGGTTTAGTGCAGTGGTTTTAACTATATACAAAATATATTTCTGGTGTCATTTAAGTTACTTTTTACTTTTATTTAACACACCTTTTTCTCTTCCTTTCATTTTATCATTCATCCATTCATACCACCTTCCCCACACGGTATAGTATTCTGAATTCTCATCGTCATTTATTTCATGGGTTAGTTTGGTCATCTCTGCGCACTCCAGTATTTTTCTAGTTATAAGCTCTTCTGGTGGCTCTCTGCTCCCTGTCTTTTATCCCCAGACCTAGGATGGGGCTTCGGTAGCAGCGGCGGCTCTTCTGTCCCAAGGATTGGCCCACGGATTTCCCCCCAGAGATACGGAGGATCCCGGATCTGCGCACTTTCCGCCGTGCTTTTAAGACTCTCCTATTCCAGCAAGCCGGCCTGGCCTAATTTTCTCCCCTGTTTTAAAATTCTTTTAAATCGAAATTTTAATCTGTTTTAAATTATTGGGATTTTTAATTGTCTCGGGCTAAATTATTTAATCTGGTTTTAATTATGTTTTTTAACTTTTGTATCTATGTATTTTATTTTGTGCCTGTTCACCGCCCTGAGTCCTTCGGGAGTAGGGCCGTATATAAATCTAATAAAACAAACAATAAAACAAACAAACACTGTTCTCCTCTCCTCTGCCTTCTGCGCATCTGCGCGTCAGGCACAGGACCCAGCTGTTCCTCCTCTTTCTCATCAGCCACCTCCAGACCTGGGGGCTGTTGACTCTCCATCTGAGGGCTGATGGGCAGCCCAGGCTCCGCCTCTGTTTCTCTCTCTCTGACAGCTCCATTCCCTCTTCCCCCTCGGAGCTCTCAGGTTGCCTTGATGCTGACCCTCACTCCCACACCTCCTTCTCATCTGATTCGGCTGCTGGAGGGGGTGGCGGCTGACAGGCCGCAACATGAAGCTTCAGAGGGTTCAGTTCTTGGGGCCCCTCCAGTGGCCTATGTTACACTGCTGTCCTGCATGCTGCACTGGTTATCAGTTTGCCAGAGCCGTGGTGGTGCAAGTGGTTAGAATGTGATATTGCAGGCTAATTCTGCTGACGGTCGACTGCCGGCAGTTCGATTCTCACCGGCTCAAGGTTTGACTCGGCCTTCCATCCTTCCGAGGTGGGTAAAATGAGGAGCCAGATTGTTGCGAGGCAATAGGCTGACTCCGTAAGCCGCTTAGAGAGGGCTGTAAAGCTCTGTGAGGCGGTATGTAAATCTAAGGGCTATTGCTATTCCTTCCAGGTTCAATTCAAGGTGTTGTTTGTCACCTTTAAAGGTCTTCATGGTCTTCATGGCATGGTCCAGGTTATCTGAGGAATTGTCTCACCCTGCTGGGATTATCCTGTGCTGGATGAAGAGGCTTTTCCTGGGGTCCAGGAAAAGTGCCTTTTCTTTCATGGTACTCTCCCTCTGGAACATTGTACCCCTCCAGGAAAGATCCGTGCCCACCCTTTGACTCTTCTAAAAGGGCCCAAAGAGCTGGTTCTGCCAGATGGCTAGGGGTTCAAATGGGGAAGTGGCAACTTGAAGGTGGTTAATAGATTATACAGACTCCCATTTCTTCCCCTTGGTCACTTCACTCCTTCCTCTTCTTCACTGCGGTTAATGGAAATTTTAAATTATGGTTTGTTTGTTTGTTTGTTTTTTGTTTGTTTTTTAATTAGATTTATATGCCGCCCTTCTCCGGAGACTCAGGGCGGCTTACATTGCGTTAAGCAATAGCCTTCATACTTTTGTATATTTTATACAAAGTCAGTTTATTGCCCCCACAAACTGGGTCCTCAATTTACCTACCTTAGAAGGATGGAAGGCTGAGTCAACCTTGAGCCTGGGGAGATTCGAACTTGCAATAATTGCAGACAGCTGAATGTTAATAATAGGCTTTTAGTCTGTTGAGCTATCCAGGCTCCAGGTTTTATTTATCGATTTAAATGTTTTCATGGTATTTTATGGTAAGGTAACCCAGAGTTGTCTCAGTAAGATAGGTGCAGGGGTGGGCTTCAAAAATTTTAGCAAGGGGTTCTCTGCTTGGTTGCTGGGTGGGCGTGGCCATGGTGGACTTGGCCCAATCAGCCTGCACCAAGGCGAGGGGGGGCATTTTTGCCCTCCCCAGGCTCTGGAGGCTTTTTCGAGCCTCCTGGAGGGCAAAAACGGCCTCCCCAGGCTCCAGAGGCCCACTGGAGGCCAGAAACAGGCCTGTTTCCAGCCTTCCCAAACTTCCGTTAGGCCCGTTTTTCGCCCTCCCCGAGCCTCCGTGCATGCCCTGCACTTACCTGCATCCAAAATGGGCCACGTGGGGACTCCTGGGAGGGGTGGGGTGGGCGGGGCCAACCAGGAGTGGAATTTGGGGGTTCTCCGAACTGCACAGAATCTTAGCCAGAGGTTCTCCTGAACCCCTGTGAACC